ACAGTGGAAACATGATCTCTGCTGGAGCAAAGAGACTTCCATGAGTGAAAGGACACTACAGTGGTACCTTGGGTTACAGACGCTTCAGGTTACAGATACCAGGTTACAGACTCTGCTAACCGAGAAATAGTACCTCGGGTTAAGAACTTTGCTTCAGGATGAGAACAGAAATTGCACGGTGGCAGCGTGGCGGCAGCAGGAGGCCCCATTAGCTAAAGTGGTACCTCAGGTTAAGAACAGTTTCAGGTTAAGAATGGACCTCTGGAACGAATTAAGTTCTTAACCTGAGGTACCACTGTACTGGATACAATACAATCCATTAAGGAAAAAGCTCGCAGCAGGTCCGTCAACTGGGACCTCATGGCTGAGGGGCAATTTTTGAGCTCAACTCTTTCTTGTCCTAGTCCAGCGTTCTAAACTGATACACCACATCTAGCTCAACTGATTTTAAAAAACCACAAGAAACTTTGCAAAAGTGCAAAACTGGAAGGCTTCTTCATGATAATGTGAGGATCAAGCCAACTGTGCATAGCTTCCAAAACTTCAAGAACCAGTTTTTTTTCAGAGTTGGGCTGGGCTATAAGCAGAGAACAGGCTTCCATAGCTAAAAAATGTTCTGCTGTTTTTAGCCTTTAGAACTGCTATAATTCTTCAGAAAAACCTAGCACAACATTTATTGGCAAAACTAGTTCATTAAAATTTTGGTAATTAACTGGTTTGCCACTGTTAATGGTAAGTATGGAGAAAACAGAATAATACATCTACGCATTCTTCTGCCAGTTTATTCATTCTTATCTGTTCAATTTCTAAATCATTAACATAAGAATGCATGGAAGTGTGCAGTTATAAGTACATATATGATTCAGATTATTATTTATAGCATCTGAACATGCTAAAAGGATTTTCTTCAGTCAAATTTATCCTCAGTTTCAAGCTTTTACCACAATAAACATCAGATTATGTTTATGTTGGCCATAAACCTGTCAGTCCTCAATAAACAGATATACTCCGGTGAATCGAGCTCTGCTGTCAAAAGGACTGTCAAAATGTACACCAACTCTTAAATTAAACCCTGCCAGCACAGAGAGATTCAGTTGCAAAAGTCTTATTTGAGACAACCCAACAAAAAGCTCACCCTAGTAGATAAGGACGGATATTATATCACAGGCAAAGATTGGAAAGTTCCAGAGGAATTTCACAAAGGATCTGATCTGCTTCTCCTTAACGGAAAGCTAATGTGACCTTTAATACTCTGTTAGACGGAGCCTGACTCTAGCAAGTCTCAATTAAATTTTATGTTTTGTGGCTCCCGTTTGCTTGTAATACATGAACAAAGTTCAATGGATGACTCCTACTTTGAAGATTTTAATTCCCTATTGGGACAATTTATTTCCACCTAGACAGCTCCTCAGAGATTGTGTCTTTGTACTGCCCAGCATATGCTGAGGATGGAAAGATCCTTAGAAGACACTGGGAAATGTGTCACCTAAGTTCTCCATGCTTATTTCATTTTTCAGTTATTGAAGCTTCTAGAAACTTTATTTATTTCTAGCATTTCCGTCATTCCTTTCTATCATAGATAATCCAGGCAGGTAACAATAATACAGTCATACCTAGGGATGAATACGCTTCAGCTTAAATATTTTTGGGTTGGGCTCCACGGCAACCTGGAAATAACGAAGTGCGTTACTTCCAGGTTTCTCCGCTCGCACATGCGCAGACGCTCAAAATGACATCATGTGCATGCGCAGAAGTGGCGAAATGCGACCCACGCACGCGCAGACGTGCAGTTGTGTCTTACGTTCGCTTCAGGATGAGAACGGGGCTCCGGAACGGATCCCGTTCGCATCCAGAGGTACCACTGTACAGCAGAACAGGAATAGGGAACCTTTGCCCTTTGCTGAACTATAACTCTCACCAGCCCTAGAAAGCATGGTCAACAGCAAGGGGTGATGGAATTTGTAGTTCAGCTACATGTTGTCAGAGACCGTGCTGAGGAAGGCTGCACTGAGGAAGAATGGCTGGAGCCTCCCCAGTGGTGGAGCTTCATGCTCCGGCGGGGGGTGGGATGGAAAGCAGGCAGGGGCATGGCTGGTGTGAGTCCTGAGGGGCATGGTACGCCACCCACAGGGGCGTGGCACATGCCCTGGGGCCATGGCACACCGCCTGCGGGGTGTGGTGCCCAGCACGCGGGGGGGGGAGCCATGATGGCACCCTGCTGGCATCATGCCACCGGGGGCGGTATGCTCCCCTAGCACCCCTCTTCCTCCGCTAGTGAGCCTCCCCCTCCCCCTGCTCCTGATCCGGATCCTGAAACTTCCCAGAAGCAGGAGGATAGTATACTGTAGATTTCGAACAGTGGTTTGCAGAGGGACATAGTTCAGAAGGCAGAAGCTGGGAAATACTGGATGGAGAACAGCTAGGAGAAGAAGCACTAGGAGAGAGAGAGTTAACAGATTCACTCTCTCTGGAAAGCATTCATGTGCTCAGCCCAAGGTCAAGAAGAGCTGATAAGGTGGCAGCACAGAAAGCACAGTGGTTACGTGCTCAGGTCAAAAGACACGGGAGTGACACGGGTGACTAGGGAGGAAGTGGATGGGACTCTTAATTGGGAGCACCATCATTCCTAGGAAATGGATTCTTTGTTCTCTTTCTGTGATCATTAAAGTTTCTAACTGGTAAGATGACTCCTTTTCCTTTGTTCTGCTTATCTACTGCCAAATGGGAGAGGAAGCCAATTCCCTGAAGTCTGACACATGTAGAGGATGAATGGTTCCCTACACCTGCAATAGAACATCAAATGGTTTAAAAATAAAAGCCATGAGCACAATCCAATATTGCAATTGGGACTTCTGTTTGCTATTCCAGAAGCTCCCAGTCCTCCAGATCAGATTTTAAGAGTGTGGGGGGGGGGGAAGAAAGGAAGGCAAGATCATATTGTGCAAGTGGAAGGCCATTCTATTCACTATGGGCAGCACTGGATACAAACCATTCCATTCATTCTTATCCAGGATCCAAAGGGGTGCACACACAACTTCCACATATACACCCAAGCATTCCCACCCCCAGTGCAAACCCTTCAGAACTCTTTAAAACTCCACTGACCTAATCACAAAAAATGTGACCTTATCACAATTTTTGTGATTAGGGGTGAGGGGCAGACAAAGGAAAGCCCAGGGGAAACCTCATGAATGCAAAATGCAGTATTTAATTATCTGCAGCTCTTACACCTAATCTGTCACTGCCTTGGAAATTTGGGGGAGCTGAAAGTACTAGTGGGATGGGGTATAATTTTCTGCAAAGCTAAACTGGTGGCGGGAGAGTGCATAGGATTGCCAGACCACAATTGGAGGTGCTTCCAGACTGTGGTTATTTTTGGATGGCATTCAATCACACACTTGCCAACTCAGATTGTGCAATTATTATAGTTGGTTGGGAGGTCTTCAACAACAAATCCACTTCCCTCCCCAGAAATGGACTTTTCGTGATATGGCAAGCGTTGTGAAAATGCACTGGAAAGTGTGAGATGGCACTTGCTTTGATGCGATGCCATCTAACCTCTTCACAATCATACCATATTGAATGCTAATTAAACTGTCTAATCTCCCTGCAAACAAATCAGGTTGAGTACTCAATAAACAGATCGTCCAGAAGCACTCTTGTAGCACATCAACACAACCTGTACTGAAAGGTGGGGTAGCCATTGCTTCTACCATTCCACTCTTCCCTCCAAACCCTTTGTCCCCTCTCTCAATGTTGTTGTTTATTCGTTTAGTCGTGTCCAACTCTTCGTGACCCCATGGACTAGAGCACACCGGGCACTCCTGTCTTCTACTGCCTCCCGCAGTTTGGTCAAACTCATGCTGGTAGCTTCGAGAATACTGTCCAACCATCTCGTACTCTCTCGTCCCCTTCTCCTTCTCCTCTCTCATAGATGCTGAACAAAACAAGAGTCCTGCTTCTTTCAGTAGGTAGGAATGGGATTTTTGTATGAATAGATCATAGGAGAAGCAAGGTGAGAGAAGCCCTAGCTGGGCTCCACCAACAATTGCTGCTCCAGAGTGTTGACAGTCTCATGGATGGTTCCAACTGCCTGTCCTGACCATCAGAAAGTATGTGTTTTCTCTCTCTCTTTCCAGCCGTGTGAAATCTAACATACTCTCCTATAAGAAAAATGCTGATGCCAGATGTAACCTTGTTTCGGAAAACTTTAAAAGTGACAATGCCTAGAAAAAATGGCAATCTCAGAGCTGATTAGGATACCTTTTTGATTCCAGCACAGAGATACCAAAGACAAAAAACACACACAGTAAGTTGTCAGCATAAATGAATGTGCATGCACTCAAATTTACATTTTTCTTAGCAACGTGCTGTTCCTTTTTCTTCAGAGATAAGTTTAAGGATACATCCCCAAATGTGCAAGTTGTAGTGTTTTCTCATCCAGGAAAGAATGTGGTGGGTGTTACTGCGGGAGGTTCTGTGTGCATGCATGTGTATGCTCTGCTTGAATCGTCCAGCTGTGCATGAGACTGTTGGCATGGTAAAACATGACTTATGGGTCAGATATGCGCCCCCAAATTTCTTAATCCCGCTTATTAACCTCCAGTTTCTGAACAGACACAGGTGGTTCTCCCTCCCCCCCTCCAAAGAAATTGTGAAAATAATAGTATATTTCCTCTAAAGATCTGCGGGCTTCAACTACTCTGCGAATAGGTTTTTAGCTGTTTCTTGGCTAAAGGAAGGAAAACGATTGCTAATTTAAAAAATCTGGCAGCATTTACAATTATTTTGGAAACAAAAGTTAATTAAATTAGGCAAATGAAATGATTAACATTAAAAGAGCAAGAGAGAAAGCGCATGCCACAGAATCCCCCCCCCCATTATATTTTGTTAGCTCTAGGAACACATGCTGCATTTGACCAAATGTGATGTGCTATATCCTAATGATATTTTTGGCCACAGCAGAGGAGAGCATGGGATGGGAAGGAGACAAGGAGTGTTGTCCTAGAAAATATAGCTCAGTCAGTAGAGCACGAGCCTCTTAATCTCAGGGTCATAGGTTCGAGCCCCACATTGGGCAAAATATTTCTGCATTATGGGGGTTGGACTAGATGACCCTCGGGGTCCCTTCCAACTTCACAATTCTGTGATTCTATGATTTCAAAATGCCATAGGCTCACTAGAATTAGAGCCTTTGAAATAGGGTGATGTGGAAATCAAAAAAGCATAAAATAAATCTGGTCTTTTTCTTTAAAAAAAACCATGAAAGCAAAAAGAAAGAAAAAAGCCAAATGAGTTCTAAAATCTCAAAGGGCTGCAAATAATGATAGTTTATATTTTATTTATGCACACAGCTTCATTTTTATGAGACAGGTCAGATGGGAAGCACTGTCAACATGGTATTTATCAGCTAGAGGAGGAGAAAAAACTGCAGCTGCATGTTCCTGGCATCTGATCAAGGCTTGATGACCACATATTTCAACATACCTTTCAATTATGAACATGGCAGAAAGACCATTTGCTACACAAAAAGAAAATCTTGCAGCTCAGAGCCACAGCCTATTAAGTTTGCTTGATTACTGAAGCTGGCAATTTCTACAATTGCCACAACAGGGTGACAAAATCAGTCCAAGATACATATGACTTAATGGTTATTTACAAATAATAATAATAATAATAATAATAATAATAATATCAGCCCAGAGCATAGGGACCCCAGCTGGCCTTCCAAATCCTATACATTTCCCCTGATATTGGTTTTTAACTGTTAACTAAGTACTGCCAAGAAGAGCTTGACCATATAATCTTATGGCTGATTTTATAGAAAGGGACTCAAACTTCTAGTCCAATCTTGCGGTTGTTAGTGTCTTTCTTTAATCCTTTCCTGTCCAATGTTGTTTAAAAACAAATGTGCATAATGAACATATGTAAATGATTAATGGTTGTTTCCACTCTCTTCAGGAAAGGGCTATCTTCATGCTTAACTCCATAATCAGTTATTCTGAGCCATTAAGATGGCTTCCTTCTCCAAAGCAATCATAGACCTCAAATATAAAATCCAGGAAAGCAAGAATATTAATTCCTGCACTATCTACTCATATGGCCAGACCAAGGAATTGGGGATCATTTCCTGTGGCCACATCTCGACATACCTGCATGCACTGATGATCCTTCTGAACCAGTTGCTTGGCAGGAATTGCACCCTGAGGAAGCTTCCTTCTTTGTAGGTCTACTTTACAAATGCTCATAGGCAAAAATTCACTTATCCGAACACAAGGAATGGGTATCCAAACTTTGCTATAAGGTAAAAGGTAAAGGAACCCCTGACCATTAGGTCCAGTCGTGACCGACTCTGGGGTTGCAGTGCTCATCTTACTTAATTGGCCAAGGGAGCTGGAGTACAGCTTCCGGGTCATGTGGCCAGCATGACTAAGCCACTTCTGGTGAACCAGAGCAGCGCACGGAAACACCGTTTACCTTCCCACTGGAGCGGTACCTATTTATCTACTTGCACTTTGACGTGCTTTCGAACTGCTAGGTTGGCAGGAGCAGGGACCAAGCAACGGGAGCTCACCCCGTCACAGGGATTCGAACCGCCGACCTTCTGATCAGCAAGTCCTGGGCTCTGTGGTTTAACCCACAGTGCTACCCGCGTCCCTTAAACCTTGCTATACGCAGCGCAAATTCAGATATTCCAACAGAGGGCGTTTAATTGATCTGCCTGTGGTTGAAGGTAGCACAACTATGAACCTTCTCTGCTGGACTTCTGAGCTCTGTCACCCTCCTGGGTAATTTTCAGTTCAATGATCCCATTAATTAGGAACCTCTCAAAGAGACAAACCCTATGTTTAATGGTTCCTTTTACGCTATTTCAACACAACTTGTGAATGTTTATTCAACTAAAATGCTTTTATTTTTAACAACTGCTGCTTCACTTCGCTTTCTTTTCTCCTGCAAAGCAGGTGCACGCCTTGTTAATATAGCTGGTGCACGCCACATCCATGACCTTTTTGTGCCTCCGTCAAGCCACCTGGAAAAACTGGGTAATGTTTTTGCATTTTAAGTGTCTGGTTAATTAGCATCCACATGCAGTAAAGTTTGGCTAAAAGGGGCTAATGTCAAAGGAAACCTATCTGCCAGTGGGGTTGGGGAAGGAAAGTCCTATAGAGACTGGTCATGAGAGTTCTCGTTCTTTGTAGTGGTCAGAGTTTCCTGGCCTAATTGCATTTTTCTAAGAAACAAAAATGTTGATCTTTCTCTTAACTGGCTGAGAGTTGCTTTTACTTTACATTTTGTACTTGGGCACAGATAGCCAAATAAAATATCATATGCATAATAAGTCAGTTTTGAAGTGCACACCTGTGTAGAAAAGACTACTTTCTCCCTTTAAAACATGCACAATGTCACATGGGAAAGGATTGGAAGTACTTTAAAACAAACTCTTTATTTTTAGAGGAGTTTTTTGGCTACATTTTAAAATTTAAAAAAATAACACAATCCCTCTTACGTGGCATGCAGTTTAGAACAACAGAGTATATAAATTAATAAATAAACATCAAGGAAAGAAGTTAAAGAAGCAATTGCTGCAAATATACATTTTTCTAAGCATCCGTGTACATTAGTGAAAAAGTAACTTAAGATGTTGCCCAAAATGTTTTCCTGGGAAGCTGAAACAGTCTTTAGAACTGGGATGGGAAATCTGTGGTCCTCCAGGTGTTGTTGGACTACAACTTCCATCATCCCTGACTACTTGGGGCTGATGGGAACTGGATTCAGACAACATGTAGAGGGCCACAGATGTCTTTAGGGGGGGGATGCTAAACCACAGAATAAAAGTTTGTTTCATATCATAAAATTTATTCTTTGTCCATTCAGTGATTAAGAAACTTCCGTGTACTTCGAATGATGCTGCCGCTAACCTGTGTTCTGTTTATTTCTTGGCCTATCTTATCTAATTGTTCAAATAACTGTCAACATTTCAAGAGGAAGTTGTTTTGAAGTGAGCCAATGTTACGTTTTGCAACTGAAACTGAAAAAAAGCAAAGATCAGGATTTTACACTGACTACTATAGACTTGATGCTCTATTAACATTTTTATACCTGATTAACGTAGTCAAAGGCAAGCCCACACAATTATTTCCTCTTTTTAAAACCTATGCTAAATAGATGTGAGAGTAAAAACATTATTTTAATTTATTAAAGCAAGGGATTATAGAGTACCACTGAACACAAACCAACAGTTCTAGGAACCAAGCCAGTGATGTTTTCAAGCCTTGGGAGAAGGAAGCCATGGAAACTCAGAGTTTGCCTAACCAAATTCTACCCTAGAAACTTCATAATCCAAACTCTGGAAGAAGAAAAGACTATGACAGAGTCTAGTGGCCAACTCCATTAACTATGAACCTGCAAATGTGGTTCATAGTGGAACTTTACTGCCCTATATCTCTTTGACTGCTGTAGCTTATGGTGAGATTTTTGAGACGAAAATCCTCTCAGGTGCCTCAGTTGTTTAAAGCAAATGCTGTTATAAAATGTTCAGATAAGACAAGCAAATATGGCAGCCAAACATAAAATAAACTGAGGCTTATTTAAATTGTCATCACAAGTTCCCTAAAGAAGAAGGTTTAAACCAATTTCCTAAATGCTCCCAATAAGGTTTCCAAACAGGTTTCCCTATAGCAGAAATTCCACATGCTGAAGCCATCCTGCTCCTCACAACCTCATAACCGACTCAATTCAAATTTCATGTTGGATTTTATGGTGGCAGTATTAACAAAAATAAACAGCCTCATGATGAGAACACAGCTTGCAGCTAGTAAGGTGTAGCCTTAACTTGAATTGTTCGAAAAGCAGCGCTTATATTACAGCTCACAATGTCTCTTAAAGTCACCTTCTTTAGCAAGCATTTGAAAGAAATCACACAAGGGCTGCCCTCTTTCCCTCGACTGAGAGCACCAAGATTTGAAAAAGAAAACAAAATTCTTCATGCTTTCTTCTTGTCAACACTACGACCTGCCTGTGGCTGAGTCTCAGATGCCTAATCAGCTCTCACTCAGCCTAACACCAGTACAAAAGTTTTCACTTATTGTTTGGCAGCGGCTAAGCTCACCAAAGGGCCTGCAATGAGTAAGAAAGTGCTCACCAGAAAAAGCCGATGTCTGCTGCGTTAAAAGAGTAAGTGTTACATTCACTAATCTTTGGTGTTGACAGAGAAAAGTCTAGGAGCAGATGCTTTTCAAAAGGTTATTGTCCTCTTATTCCATACTAAGATTTAGCAAGTTATTTTTATATTGTTTTAAGAGACTGCCTGTTATTACCAATGTGAAAAATAGCTTGCCCGAAGTCATTTTTCAAGCCAACAAATCATGGTGGTAAGAGGAATATTTCATGCCCTGGAGATATGTTTGAAAATGATAGAGGTTATGAAACAATCTTATAAATATCTCTGAAACAAGGTTGCAATGTGGTGCACATTCAGGCCCTGACTGATGTGTGACGTGGCCTACTGTACCTGTGCAAGTGTTCATCACAATAATGTCATGTCCAAATGCCGATATGAACGTATATATGACTAGGAGCGGCCACCAAGACCATATAACAACGGTCCTGAAAGACCTACATTGGCTCCCACCGATATGTTTCTGAGCACAATTCAAACTGTTGGTGCTGACCTTTAAAACATTAAATGGCCTTGGCCCAGTGTACCTGAAGGAGTGTCTCCATCCCCATCGTTCAACCTGGACACTGAGGTCCAGCTCTGAGGGCGTTCTGACGGTTCCATCGCTGCGAGAAATTATGTTACAGGGAACCAGGCAGAGGGCCTTCTCAGTAGTGGCACCCGCCCTGTGGAACGCCCTCCCACCAGATGTCAAGGAAATAAACAACTATCTGATTTTTATAAGACATCTGAAAACAACCCTGTTTAGAGAAATTTTTAATGTTTGATGTTCTTTCGTGTTTTTAATATTCTGTTGGGAGCTGCCCAGAGTGGCTAGGGAAACCCAGCCAGATGGGTGGGGTATTATTATTATTATTATTATCATCACATTAGAATGCCAGCAATAACAAACACAGGAAGCTG